GAAGGACTGTAAGCTGGTTTAGCCTTCCAGGCAACATAGACTTTGACTTTATAGTGTGGAAAAGCTCAGACTGGCCTCAAACATATAGTTAGAAGGATGAATATTAAACTCAGTTCAAAGAGACTTGTTAAGTACAGTACATTTCTAAACTCAACTCCTCAATCACCTTCGACAGCTGCAAAGTAGTGACTTGTTGGTGTGGAAGGTTTACCCTTTGTCGACTGATAAAAGCAGGGGAAGGTTTGCATTTAAACTCTGATTTAGCACATACATAATAACACCGGGAGTCCAGCGATCTGACACAGGTATGACCACACCGTTTTCTTTTGTGGTTCTGGAGATGGAACCCAGGACTTCCAGCATGCTCGGCAAGCACTCTGCTACTGGACGCCCTTTCCAGCACTGATGGTACATTTATACTTGGTTACTTTTCTTTGTTTTACTTTTTCTCCATTCGCTACACATTATTCTTAATAATAAACAAAGCTGTTTTTCCGAAATGACTACAATTTTGAGGCCAGCCTGGGCTACAGTGAGACTCTCTTGCAAACAAACAAATGAGCAAAAACAAAAAAGCCAAATCTTTAAGGGGGAAAAAAAAAATCAACCACCATGAAATGTTACACAATTACAGCAGTTCTCAAACTGCAGGTCAGGACTCTGCTGGGGTCCCATGTTACAATTTGTAACAGAAAATCAATTAGGAAGCAGCAATGGAATAATTTTATGGTTGGGGTCACCACGACTTGGGGAACTCTTTGAAAGGGTCACAGCATTAGTAACACTGAGAACCACTGGTTTATTAAAACCGCCTTGGAGCGAAGGCTCGATGTAGCCTGGGGATGAACTACGGCAATGAAAGGAAGGATTCTGGAGCCATCACTTAGGCCAGCATCATTTCAAGGTTCCGGAAAACACTTGTGGAGGCCAGCCCTGAGTGAGCAAAGGCTTTTCAAAGCCAACCCTGGACGGCTCTCCCCGCTTCTCCATCAGTCAAGGCACTGTGTGTCCACCTGAGCAGCTACCAAAGCTGTCACTGACCCCCCCGCAAACCAAGAGCACAGCCTGACAGCCACTTTGACCCCAGACACAGTGTCACAGTGGGTGGCGCAAGCAACTGGGGAGCTCCACTTTCCTGACACAGCAACTATGCCTGTTCCAGGCTGAGCAGAAGCATCCGCATCCTTCCCAGTGGCTTCAGCTGCTGGCAAATCTGATGCCTCAGCCCCCTCAAGTGGAGCTGTGGGTACACGCCAGTCCAGCCTCCTGCAGAGCAGAGCCCTCTGACTGACTGATCAACCCCCTTCCTCTGATCTAAAACTCACACCCTACCATCTTTTGATCTTCACTAATAATTACTTTTGCCTTTTGTGAGGGGCCTTGGCATCAAACGCAAGTTCCAAAATCCCAGCTAAGGGAAGTTAAGGCAGGCGGATCCCAATCTGAGGTCTGCCTGGGGCTATGACGGGAGTTTTAAGTACCCATTTCTCATAAATGCTCCTTCTTGACCTCAGTGCTCCCAAGTCTGTGTGCTCCTGGCTTTGAGAAAACACACTTTCTGTCTCAGTGATGCATTTGGTGCTGGGGGTGGGGTTTGGGGAGGGACTCACCTCGACTGGTAAAGCCTGGGGACTGGACGTTATGTCCCCATTGCTCATGTAAAAAGCTACACATGGTGGCACAGGCTTTTGATTCCAGCGCTGAGCAGGCAAAGATGTGTGATCTAGCTAACTTAGCCTAATCTGAAAGTCCCAAACCAGTGAAAGATCATGTCTCAAAAACAGGGTAGATGGATCCTAAAGAATGACAGCTGGCCTTTACATGCAAGAGTACACACACACACACTTATTTTTAAAAGAATGAATTTTTAGATTTCCCAAAATACAACGAGTGATTGGGCTGCCATATACCAGTCCTCCAAGCTGCATAAATATATAAATTATGAATCAATTTTTCAGGTAGGGTATGGGGATTAAGATGGTCTGAATAAGAATGGCTCCCATAGGCTCATATAGGTTGTGGCCTTATAGGAGTGGGTGTGGCCTTGTTGGAGGAAGTATGTCACTGGGAGTGGGCTTTGAGGCTTCAAAAACCCATACCAGGCCCAGTCTCCTATGGATGTCGATACACTTCTCAGCTATGGCTCCAGCACCCGCCTGCATGCCGCCAGGATCCCCACTATGGTGACAGCGGCCTGAACCTCTGAAACTGTATGCAAGGCCCCCAATCATACAAGTTGCCTTGGTCATGGCGTTTCTTCACAATGGAGCGGCGACAAAGACACGGCTACAGCTTGGTAGGGTAGAGTACTTTTGTCACATGCCACCTAAACTGGTTGTGATGACACACAGCAGTAGTCCTGGCACTCAGGAGATGAAGCTACGAGGATCAGAAGTTCAAAGTCAGTTGGAAGGATGGCTCAGAAGGCAAAGGCCCTTCCTGAACCAGCCTGGCAACCCAATGCAATCCATGGAACCCATGTTAACATGGAAGGGGAGGGGTCAGCTCTACAAAGCTATTCTAACCCTCCGACACACACACATGTGTTAAGACATACTCAGCCCTACACACCCGTAATGGACAGCACGGGTAGTCACCCATGCATGCATGTACTCACTCACACATGCGCGCTACAGAACCCTCATCCTATCAACACTAGTCACACTAATAATAATGTTTTAAAAAGAAGCTCAGGGTCATCCCAGTCTATTTAGGAAGCTTGAAGCCTGGGATATAAGAGATTCTGACTCAAACAGCAGAGGAGGAAATGCTCTCCCTTTAATCTTCCTTCAGCTCTTTGGGCACTGAGGCCCTAGCCTCAATTTCCCCATTATGTGTGTGTGCGCTTCACACGGTTCCCCTGTCATACAGGCACAAACTTCCCCCTCCCAACCCTGCTGCCCTCTCCCGGGAACATCAGCTTCCCTCTTCCTTTCCCAGGACATCTCCAGCCCTGGCTCTCTCCACCCTCCACGCTGTGGCTTGACTTTATGCGTGGAACATTAAGAATGAAGATTAGGAACACAATGACAGAAGTCTAGGGCGCACCTAGGGTACACTCCAGCTCTGTCACTAACCATTCCATGACCTGCAGCGAGCAAAAACACTTAATCCTCCAAGTCAATCTCCTCCCCTGTAAACCTAGGTTAATAACAGTTGCTCCACCTCCCTCACAGGCACACAGCGACGATCAAACGAATATGCTTGTCGTGTGTGTGTGTGTGTGTGTGTGTGTGTGTGTGTGTGTGTGTGTGTCCAACAGCCTGGCTATCCCTGTTTCTACTCTGCCATACTTGAACTCTCTTCATCAGCTGAGGCAGGGACAGTTCTGTGTGAGGTTCAGCTCATCACAGCCAAGGCTAACAGTATGAAGACATCAGTGGTTTAGTTTCTACTGTGAATTTCTAATTTGGTAACTTAATTCAAAACAAGCATAGCCTTTTCTTTTCTCTTAATTACGTGAGCATATACTTCTAGAAGACAGCTATACTAGACAACAATTACTGAGCACGTACCGAGTCAGGCACCATCCTAAAGTGTTTTTACATGGGAGGTCTTACTGTTATGTATTTACATTGTGCCTAAGGGGAAAACGAGGCAGGCTAGCCTCCCTGTGATCTGAACCCAGGCTTCTTACTCTAGGGCCTGCACCTGATACACTGTACTGTGACTCCATTAGTGATGACAGAGAGAGGGGGTGAGGGGGTGAGGGCCTCAAGAATGCTGGGGGAAGACGCTATATGCTCAAGAACCTCGGCATCTCTACAGTCAACACTGTTCCTTCAGGTGTTGCTGGCCATCACTGGTCACTCTTCCATCCTGAAGCCAAGGAGCCTCACTGGCACAGCTTTCTGAAAACCAGCCAGAAGAGTGTCCCACCAACCCCAGAAAGGCCATGGTAGCAATTCATCCTACAGAAATGATCACACATGGACAAGAAATACTCCAGTAGCGAGGCTTCTAAAATTATAGAAAGAGAAGTGACGTGTATATCCTAGAAAAAGATAGGGTAGAGGGACCAAGTGTTACGAAGTCGGATAAAGTGGTCTGGAAAAAGGAATTAATGAGCATGTGGCTGACATGTGTGGGGCGGCTTATTGGTTGGGCCTGTTATCTCACCAGCCCGAGTTCACAAGGTTTACAAGCATGGACTAGCCACTTAATTTCACTTAAGTGAGCGTCAGTTTTCTCAGATGCAAATGGTGACAAAAGTACTGATCTCATCAGTAATAAACTGGCAGGCCGGAGAGATGGTTCTGCAGGTAAAAGCACATGGCATGCCAACCCCATCACCTGAGTTCAGTACCCACAATCCACAATGGACCCAGCCCTGAAAGCTGTCCTCTGACCTTTGCATGCACATACACGCACAAACAATAATAAAGGAAAAAAGAAATACTCTTTAAAGGAGCCAATAAATTAACCCCTACCAAGGGGATGGTGTGAAGCCTGGCACAGGGCAGGAATGTGGTAAATGTCAATCATTTCTAAACCAATCTAGTAAATGAACCACACATACTACATAAACTGGGAAAATAACTCAGTGAAATGTTAACATCTCTGAAAGAGGGACAATATTTTTCTTTTAAATCCCCTGTATTTTTGCTTTTGTCATTTGAATTGAGCCAGCAATATACTATTTAAGCATTTTCATTTATTTCAAGTAGCCTTAATAATACTCCTCCTGGTCTAATAAATTCTTTCCAGTATAATCCAGTCTATGCATACTGTGTTTATGGAAATGGAGTATTTTATTGATTTAATCTGAGGAGTAATACATTTCGCCTCCATTCTTTAGCGTCAAACAGCCTGCTCATATTTTATCCTATAAAAATATTTTCTGCCCTCGTATACGTTTTCAGATTAAGAGCATTCTGAATAGAATATTAGAACATAAAAACCTGTGGAAGGGAATGGATTAATGTCTGTAAAAAGTAAAGCTATAGGAGACAAACATGACAACTTTGTGACGGCTATCAGATAAAAAAATATAACCTTACCTTAATCACGTAAGGGCAGAGGTTACGGCAATAAACATTTCAACTCCACAGACAACTTCCTAGTGTGGTCAGGAGATGGACTCAATTCAGCAGCTCAGCAGTCCGTCCGGTATGGCCACAATCATTCTGAAAGGGAAAAGATCTCACTGAGGGAAGTGTAACCAAAGTAATCTCCTTTCTCCGTTCAAACCAGCAGCCAGGAGTCAATGATTAGGGTCAGCTATGCATTTCAGAAATCAAACCTCGACCTCTTTCCTGCTAGGGTGGGAACAGAATGAAGAACTGAGAAACTGCAAAAAACCAGTCTCTCTGTTCTAGGTAAAAGCTGGCCCGCCACTCTTACGGTGATTTGCCCTCACCCCTTCAAGGAAAACGGCTCCGTCCTTCACCGCCTTTCATCCTCAGTTTAGCATTCATTCTCCTGTCTGTGTATTTGCTAAGATCTGCATAGGTCAGCCATGCGCTCCACCACTCTTCACATTGTTTCCTGTCATTTTACACTCGGATCACTCCACCATCAACACCCTACACGGCAGTTCCCCCGGGATAAAAATCTTGAGACTGTCACCCACCCGAGCTCTCCACCAGACCTGATTCCACCATCATCTTTCCTTGAGCTGCTTCCTTTTCCACTGCCTGTTACTGAATCCATCAGCATACTGATTGTGTCTGTGACTTCTTAACAGCCTGTAGCCTGGACTCTTCCTGTAGACTGCCATCTGCCAGCTCTCTTGCATAGAACTGCTTTCTCCCTATTACCTGTACAACCTTGAACAGCTCACCCTCGACCCAGAGCTCTTGGTTTACACAATAAAGAACAGATGCCAGTGGGCAATGGCGGCACGACTTTAATCCCAGCACTTGGGAGGCAGGGGCAGGCAGATCTCTGTGAGTTTGAGGCCAGCCTGGTCTACACAGCAAGCTCCCAGGACAGGCAGGGCTACACAGAGAAACCGAGTCTCAAAGACAAAACAAACACAAAACTCCACAACAACAACAACAACAAAAAGAACCGATACGGATGCCAGCTTTCACAACTCATGGCTCAGTGAAATCAGAGGTCCCTGGGTATGAATCGTGGCCCCAACACTCTGCAGAATGGAAAACCAGGTTATGTCGGCTCCGCCAAAACCCCCAGCTTCACTATGGCGAAGAGGAGAATGCACATCCTGGAGGCTGCTGTTAAATAGGAAGAGCATAGTTCTGCATGTCACAGAACCTACCACAGGTAAAGCGGCACCAGCCGGTCCCATCCCACCTAACAGACTACCACCAACCCTCAGGCTCTCTGGCCTTAAAACATCTAAACCCCAAGTCCTCTTTCACTCATATCCTTAGTGTTAAAGAGTTTGTCTTCTGCCAAATAGAAACTCCTCTGCTGGCTTTCAGTTCTCCCATGATCCACCATCACACTGACTATGTGCCACCGGTTTCCAGTTCCTCCTGTTACAGGGAGACTAGTCCGACTAACCAAAACCATGCATTCTTACACCCTCCCTGTGTAATTATCACGTCCCTTTTTGAGACACAGGCTCGGGTCCCCGGCTCCAGCAATGCTACCACCCACATACCTTAACAGTCCCACACCCACCAACATTACTGTCCAGTGTGACACTATGTATCAAGTTTCACTGTGCAGCTGGAAAGAGATTAAGTTTTAAGTTCAGATTAAGTTTTTCACTTCAGTGTAGACGGTATTAGGGTTTTTTTAGAAGTCAATTCTCCAGCAGGGCTGGCACTTTTTTTTTTTTTTTTTTAATGAAATACTGACTTTATTTACAAGCCCAGGCCCAGGCCCACAGTTCAGTGCCAAGACAGGCTAGCTTGGGTTCTGGTGGAGATGTCATCCAGAGCCTAGCTCACCCCATACCCTTTTTTTTTGTCATTGTTGTTTCTTTTCTAATAAAGGTGGGAAAATTCAATTCTCTTCTGAATCAGCTCAGATTCAGGGGCTCTTTGAGGTCAAAAGGCCTTTACTAAAAGGATTTTGAAGGTTTTCACCACAAAGGAATAATAAATGCTCGAGGAGATCTATGGACCTGGATTTGAATCATTCATAATGTGTATTTTGAAATAGATTGTTACCCAGCTGTGGACAGCTGTTGTATGCCAGGTTCAATCACCAGCGGGTACCAGCCACAGCCAGTACCAACCACCTGCTGGGTCACATAGGTCCTGGGATACACGCTGTGAATATGGTTCAGCACATTTGTAGAAGACACTCACAGGCGGTGGTGTCAAAAGGCTGAGTACCACTCATAGTCTAGTCGGTTTAAGGATCTGATCTTGGAGCCGGAAGATGAGTTTTAAGTGTGTCCAATAATCTCATGCCAAAGTGAGCACATTCTAATTTCAAATGGCAACTCATAACCAAGCACCAACAATAACCTCCCCAAGGAAAAGATGATGGGTTACTATGATTTTTAGCCCAAAGATGATGGAGAAAGAACAAAAGGAAGGTCTTGGGGGAGGAATGAGTAGAAGATATGGTGAAGTGTCAAGGGATTCAGGAAGAGTATGTGATGGAGGAGAAATGGAGCCACTACAAAGGTGAGAGAACCATGCCAACAGCGGAGGCATGCAAACGTAGAGAGATGAAGAGATGAGCACGACGATCAATGGAAACTCATGGAAGCCTTGGCCTTGGGAAATGGGAAGCAGCGAGTGGCTCCAGGTGCAGTTTTCAATATGGCTGACAGAAGCTGCCTGTGGCAGAGGGTTAAGGAGAACGCAGGAGGACAAATGGAAACAGTAGTCTTGTCCGTCATGAACTCTACAGTTAAGTGCTAGTCACCTTCAAAGACTGCCTCCCCTAACAGTCTGATCTAAACAGCCACATTATTTAGTTCCATCCCTGCTTCTGTGAGAGAAATCCCGACAGAGAGGAAGGTCTTGTTTGGACGGACCTGCTTCAGAGGGTGGAGCAGCGAGGTCCATATCAAGGTGGGCCAGGAAACCGAGAACACTGGCAGGATGTGGTGATGATCTTCTTCTTCCGGCCAGATCCCAGACCCCGGAGTTTCCACCAGGTTCCCCAAACATCACCACAGGCTAGACACTCTTCCGTTCCAAGCTGCCACGGTACCTACACTTGTCCTTCTCCACGGCTCCCTTAGTTCTCCACTCGGAGTCTGACCATGGACAAGAATGGCTTGCAAACCCTGCTCGGGCAACGCCGCCCTGCTTGCCTGGTTTTGTCACCCCCAAAAATCCTACAGAACCATTCGGCACTTTATGCCGTCAACCCTTTGGAGCTGGCATTCAGTCTACTGCATCAGGAACACGATGGTTACACAGACAAAAGACGACAGATATGACAAACCAACAGCACAATGTTGGGTAATTTGTATAGCTAATGCTCAATTAGTTTAAAAGTAACACGTTCACTTTCAAAATAGTGTTTGTTCTCCACTACAGGCTCAGAAAATTCGAGAGTTAAAAATGTTTTAAGTGTTGTCAGCATCTTGTTAAATCTCCTCCCACTTTGCTAAACACGCGGGGCCAATTTATAAACGTAATACACAAACAGGAATTATCTAGTATTATTTGTAACTGGCTTTTCCCATTTATTTTTAATGGAAACATCGTGTCATTTCTACATCTTTATTTTAATGACTTCATGAGATTTTATTTTTTAAGTCCCTTTGACTCCGCGAGATAATCTCTAGGCTTTGTAAAGCGATGCTGAGTTGGATACCTTTTCACAGACCATTAGTTATTTTTCCGGAAAAGTGGCAGGGCAAGGATATGAAACATGAAGCTGATAGTGTGAAAAGCCGCCCGGAAGAATGTCAGATCCCATGGCAGTGGCAATACCCTCTAATACTGGGGTATTTTTGGTTTGTTTGTTTGTTTTTTTTAATATTCTACAGACACTTCGAAATCAGTGTGCACTGAGGTTGAATGCATTTTACCTTCTCATACTGTTTGGTCATGCCCTTTGCTGTTTTTCTACCTGCGTGTCTCCCCTATGCATTTACTATCCCACCAGATCAGTGACTTTATCCACTTGGTATCCCTGATCGGGAACTTTTCTTTGCAAGAAGCAAAATCTACTGAAACCTCTGAGGCTCAGAAAAGATCTGTGGTGTGGGTCTCACGAGTCTTCCATATGGAAAGACGCCAGCAGGTGACCTTTTGTCTTGCTGGTTGGTAGTTTCCCTAGCTTATGTTTTTCCAAACAAGGACCATCTCTACTTTACTGGCTTATTTTGAAGATCACAGAAAATCAAGGTAAGCTCACGAGTCAAAGTAATCTTCATAAAAACAAATGAACAAACAAGATCACCCCTACTTACTAAGCAACAGTTGCCTTATAATGCTAACCCTCTAGGGGACTGATCGGTGGGCCAGCACACAATAGAGTGACAGACCTTTATGTTTAGATGCGAGCACGTGGGATTGGGACGATGGCTTACCAAGTGCTTGCTGTACAAACATGAAGACCTGGGCTCAGCTTCCCAGCACCTATGTAAAAGCAGGGTGTGACAGCGCACACGCAAGAGCAGCAAGCCATTGGTAGCAGCGTGCACTGGAGAAGGCGCACACACAGAGCCATCTACTGATCCTTAGGAGTCTTCTCCGCCATGTTTTCGCTTTCTCGGCTCTAATCCTGGAGGCTAAAGCCCACCCTTTTCACCAGCTTCAAACAGCTCCTAGCTCCATCCATTCTGATGAGCGTCCCTAGCAAACTCAGTCTGTAGTAAACTCACTTCTCTCCCTTTTAGGTTTCTTTATTCTTAAGGGTCGTTGTGATTTAAAATAATAATAATAATAATAATTTTTTTTGGCTGGGAACCAAGGCCACTCTATCAGCCACTCAACAGCAAACGGTTCCTTTTTTCCAAAGGTCCTTGAGCAGCTTATCCGTTAGTGAGGTCTAGTAGCAGTGCACACCTGAAACCCTTTTGTCAAAGGTGAAGCCGAGCTCTGTAAATATTTTATGTACAGCCCGTGCTGCCACCCTAGATACCAATGGCTTCACTGAACTCTCTGGCAGACACTGTTTCCATCAATGCCGGGCACAGGCTTTGTCATCCTACAGGCACCTTCCGCCCACTTAGTCCTAATTATCTACCCTAAATGTCTAGTTTATTTTCTACTGTGCTGGCTGTGCTGTGGGCAAG